AAGAATTATCTTATTGAGTATGGTGGCACAATCTGATAATTCCTCTGCTACTTAGGAGGCAGAGACAGGCAGATTTTGAATTTGATGTAAGCCTGGGTTAGATAGTGAGACCATATATCAAAACAACAGCAATGAAATGAAGAAGAAAGGAAGGAAGGAAGGAAGGAAAGAAGGAAGGAAGGAAGGAAGGAAGGAAGGAGGGAGGGAGGGAGGGTAAAATGGGGAAGAAGAAAAGAGGATGTGGAGGAGGGAGGAAGGGAGAAAGGTTGGGAGATAGACAGAGAGGGGAGGGAGTAAGAGAGGGTGAGAGGAAAGAAGGAAGGAAAGAAGGAAGGAAAGAAAGAAAGAGAGAAAGAAAGAAAGAAAGAAAGAAAGAAAGAAAGAAAGAAAGAAAGAAAGGAAGAAAGAAAGGAAGGAAGGAAGGAAGGAAGGAAGGAAGGAAGGAAGGAAGGAAGGAAGGAAGGAAGGAAGGAAGGAAAGATTGAAGATGGAAAGGAGGAGGGAGGGAAGGAGAAGGGGAAGGAGGGAAGAAGTGAGGGAGAAAGGAAGGAAGGAGGAAGGAAGGGGTGGGAAAGGAAAGAAAGGGAAAGGATAGAGAAAAGGTAGGGACTGAAGAGAGAGGAATGAAGGAGGAGAGGAATGGAAAGTAAAAGAAGGAAGAAAAGGAGGGACAGAGAAAGGGAAGAAGGGAGGAGAGAAAAGAAGAAAAGAATTATCTATGAAGCAGGTTCACATCTCACTGAAAAAAATTTTTTTGGAACTTTAAAAATACCCGATTATGGATAAAATATACAGTAATATTTACTTGTGAGATGTTTGTTTATTCAAGTTTCAAGAACTTTCAAAAATCCTATTTCATTTATTAACCTACTTGTATGGATACATACCAGTTGCCAGAGACTACAAGGTTTGCAATAGTTTTGGTTGCAGATTGGAGATGTCCTTGATGACATGAAGTACCTGTTTGCAACTTTCAACTGCCTGTGCTTTTTGAAGGAGAACAAGTCCCAGCTCCCTGTGGCATAGGTCAACACCTTGGACAGTCACAGAGCCTTTGATCGACTTGATCAAATCAATCCCCATGACTACAAAATCAGCAAAATATTATTTTTGGTAAGTACCATGTCAGAAAAATATGTGGACATTTGAGTTTTGTTAGGGAACCTGAACTCGTACACAAAGGGTAGAAAGCATTGTGTCCATCTTGTTGGCCCTCCTGGCTTGGGAGGTATGTATTCAGCAGGGTTTGGAGGTAGCTCTCCAAAATATGAGCTGAAAGCTTCCTGGGCAAGCAGATCTTTCCCACATCCTTCCCTGCAGCTCCTCTTTAAGAGGTGTCAGCATGGCTGAAAGAATGAAGTGGCTGCACATTGTTTGGCCTTGCTATTATGTGCTTAACATTTCCATAACAAAAGTGCCACTCGACTTCTCCCCGATTAATGCAGCTCGAGGGCTCTTGTCGTCCTTTAATAAAACATTGTTGAAATCATTTATTTAGAGCCCCTGGTTACTAGTGGGAGAATGACCATCTTTGTGCCAAAATATAGTGTATACAGTCCACTATTTTGTAGTAGATCATTCTGGTATTTTAGAAATTGATTAAATGCATGTCTTAGAAGGTATTTATGCTAATGACACATTACCTACGTCACTGGCATAGTCAAGGGTGAACCTTTTCAACTGTCTTCCAGTGCCACTCTCTCAACTAGGATACAGTAATGTCCAGCTTCAGTCACTGTGGCAGTGAGACCTATTGGAAACTCAAGCCTTGACTAAGTAACCCTGACCACATGGTGTCTGTAACTTGATGCTGTCCAGCAATCTGCTTTGAGTAGCTGAAACTGGGTCAATTGACAACATTTCCCATGTTCCTTTGTGTAAGAGGTCAAAAAACAAATAATGCATTCCTTTTCCCAGCTTTGAAAAGAGGTACATGAGGTTGTATTCCGTAGTGAACTTAAGAAACTCATAATGTAGCCAGGAGTGGGTGGCTCATGGCCGTTATTCCAACTACTCCAGGGCCTCAGATCTGAGGATTGTGATTCAAAGCCAGCCTCATCAGGAATGTCTGTGAGGCTCTTATCTCCAATTTACCACCAAAAAAGCCAAAAATGGAGCTGTGGCTAAAGTGGTAGAGGACCAGCTTAGAGTGAAAAGCTAAGGGACAAAGTCCAAGTCTTGAGTTCAAGCCCCAGTACCCTGGAGATTGGGGTGGAGGGGGAAGAAAAGAAACTCCCAATGCAAAGCCAAAACAGTGTGGAAGTAGAATTTCAATGTGTTTTTTGATGCCTCAAAGTTCACATGGAATTTTGGGGGTTCTTCTGGTATAAGATTATACCATGTTGCTGGGATGGAGTCAAAGTGTGAACAAGAGAAAAGGGAGGAAGGAATCCGACTGGATGGTTTTCTTGTTCTAGATCTTTATCCTACTCTGCAAAGTGAATATGTCATTTTCTATGTTCACATGGACCCTACTGCAGAACTGTGATACCCTCCAGATACATTAGGGCCAGTGGTCCTTTAAATTTGTGGCAATTGAAGCTGGATGCTGCTTCTATTCTCAAAGACCTTTGAAGGGTGCAGAGATGCCCTGCTACTTAGAAGAATTCACTTCCCCACAGCCATTTTCTGCTTTACACATGTGTATTGCTCAAGTGCATTGCTGTATAATGTTCAAAAATAAACACAGACCTTATGCTCTATCCATTGTGGTTATATACAAAAGCATGGCTGTGTGCTCTGGTGAGCAGTGAAGTCTGGACCTCCTTCTATTTACTGTATGGTCACTGTCAGTTCAATGAACTGCCCCCTTGTTCTCCACCATTGTCCCACACTCCCTTAAACATTTGTCACTGAAGTGCCTCCAAAGACAAATAAACTGTCACTGAGAATTCAAACCTGCTAACTGGGGAAACGGGAAAGGCCACGAGGACACATGATTTTACATGAAATCCAAAGGGGCTCTTCTCTTGCCTTGGAAGGCTTCTGTGGGAAGTTGGGTAGGGACAGAATTCACAAGAAAACCAGAAATACCTTTCCTTTCATAATGATACTTCCAGGCAGTCTCTGCTAGACATTTGAGATAGCCAAATGTCCAAAATTCCAAAGAGTTCCCTGGAGAGTGTAACATATTACAGATGTCAACATCTGTAACAATCCTTTCTGTCTAGAAGCAGATGGCAACATAAAAACCCAGAGCCAATGGTCCAAGGGCCCTAACTTCTCAACAGCCTGTTCTGGAGTCCCTAGATGTGTAGGGAGACTAGGAGACCTTGGGCTCCAGTGTATAATTGTCTAAATTAAAATAGACCACTGATCAATGTTCACTTTCTCCGCAGAAGAAAGCATAAAGCCTGTCCTCTCTTCCCCAAGAGTTGTGTTGATTTATTCCAGGCAGATGCTTTTGACAGGACCCTGTAAAATCAAGTCGTGAGTTTATTGTAGCAGTTAATTATCGAGCCTTTTCTAGTGCTAATGCCTTTTACTTCTTACTGGAGAAAACTGGGCCTTTTACTGGGACAAAGACTTAACTTTTCGTCAAGAACGTGTTAAAATAACATGAGATGGAGATGATTTAAATATATTTAAGGACAAATGCGGAACAATTTCTTTACAAAATGACTCCTGGTCATTTTGTAAAGAAAGCTGATTTCATTTACAAGTCTCTTGGAGTACCTTTTGTTCAATTCCCAAAGAAACAATGCTGGCAGCTTTGTTTTAACAATATGTTTACTCAACCATTCAGGTGACTGGAGATTCCAAACATACACCACTCTCTTAGGCTTGAGTCTGAAACTGCCGCTATCTTAGACTTTCTAATACTATGCATAGAGAAATCTTGGTTTTATGGCATCAGGAGATCCCTCCATAAAAGCTGGGGAAAGGGTAAGAAGCAGAAGAGACCTGAAAGTAGGGGGTGGGTGTGGGTGAGAGGAAGTTGGAAGGGGCATAGCTTTAATTACTTTAGGCAGCAGAGAAATGTGGTTATGTTTTCTCAGCACATGTTAATATCAAATAAAGAGACACCAGATCTTGCTAATCTGTCGACCCCTTAGACAAAGTTTATTTGTGGTGACTTTTAAACTCCTGACTTGCCTTCCAATCACTGCGTTTAAAATGAAAAGCTTTAAATAAACACCAGGAATAGAAGATAAATAAACTTTTTTTCCCCCTTGCAAGTGCCTAGCTTGGCAAGGTTCAGGCTCAAATCCCCAGAGGACAGAGCGCTCTCTTTTGTGTTAATGTTTAAAAGATTTTCCAATGCCGGAGTTTATTCCTACTGCAAACATTTCTATTTACAAGGTCAAGTGTATCAGCACTCGACACAGCTTAAGAGTGTAATTATTTATCTAAGGGCGTTTGAGTGTAGATCAGTAGCTCTGGCTGAAACCCAGCCTTCAGCCCGCTACTAAACAACTCCTCCCAACAATATTCCAAGTTCTGCTAATTATTCCTCTCCCTAGTGTTTTCTTTTGCCAGCCTGAAATGTTTTGTAACAAAATTTTGTACCTTTTTTTTCACCCAAAGTGTGAAAATGACTTTGAAGTATTGAGCCTAGTATGTTTCCTAGGACCTATTGGTAACAGATGTTATTGGTATGTTTGATTGTATGAGAATGTCCAGTAGTCAGAAGGAACACTCCTGGGGGTCAGGGACAAAAGGGGAGGGGGACCCACTGGGTAGGGTGTGACCCCTGTGGAAAAAGGGGAGGGGAGTATGTAATGCCTGGGTTATCCCCAAATTATGCACAGAAGAGTTTTGTGAATTCTCTCCACAAATGCAGAAACTCAAAGACATTGGCCACTTATCTTTTTAGCTGGCTCATTTGCAGATGTCTAATTGTTCATTAAATTAAAGGCAGAAATAGCCCACAGTTCTTGTCTTACACTGCATTTTAATTTCAACTGGTGGTTGATGAATTCCCAGTGTCCTTTCTACACCCCTCCTCACCCATTATGGGGTTAACCACAGTGTAATTCTGGAAAGCGACCACACCATACTCACTGTTTAAACTCTTTACTGATGTACACATTTTTAATAAAACAAGTAACAAAAAATACGCAAAGCCATAGTTATTTAAAACACAGGACTTTAAAAAATGATGTCTATAAAAATACAAGGTTTAAGGCAGTTTGGAAATGCGTTTATACATTTCTACAATGTCCATAAATTCTCTGGAAAATAAGGATGTTACTTCAAATCTATAAAATACACTGTACATTTTAGGATGGTTCTAAATGGAGCATACTTCAAAATGGACTGTGGGTTTGGATCCTTGGTGAAAATTGGGGGGACGGGAGAGTGAGGGTGTAACATACAGTTTTAAAACTTTTAATTTCTTTTAAAAATAAATTATTTTCTGAAGCATACAATTTATAAAAATTCTATATACAAAATATAGCAACTGGTAACAAACCCCAGTTTTTAACACACTTTATATAGGATATACCAGGGTTTAACACCCTGATAGGAGCAGAGGCAATATACAAGCTCTGCATACTTGAACGTGTAATTTCTTGATGCAAACAATGAAAATGGCAACAAAATAAACACCTTAAAGAGGCTTTCATAGATGGCAGTACAGAGCTTTTTAAAATAAAAAAAAATTGCATTGTTCAACATCATAGTAACTCTTTAGATCAACCATTTTTGGGCCCTTAATCCCAAGAAACATGCTTTAAAAAAACAAACTCAGAGTGGTAGCAATGAACGTGGGACTTTTCTATTTACTTACGATTGTTTTGTCCTCAATGGCCACAAGCAATAAAAGTCGATACCGTCACTATTTCCCTCCACTATTGCAGGGGGGAAAAAAATGCTAACAAACGGTCAGACCCCTTTGCCAGGACCATTCCTTCTTCACCCTAGTCCCACCTTCCCGGTTTCAAACCCAGTTCCTTGGAACTGTTAAGACCCTAAGGGGTCCGTCCCAAGTCCCGGAGACACCGGTTGTGTCCTAAGCGTGTTTCCCCGTGTGCTGGCTTCGGCAGAACGGGCCACTTGGTAAAAATGCGAGGGGCGAGGGGCGAGGTCCAAGAAGTCATGCTTGGAGAGAGCAGACGCCTAAGTGCCTAGCGTCCTGGCCGGTCGACCGGCTAGGCCGAGTCGACCAGGCAAAAGATGGGGTGGGGGGTAAAGTGGCCCCACCATCCCACTCCGTCCCGCAGCTGGAGAGCGCGAGCGGGGAAGCGGGACGCGGGGGCTCTCCCGCAGCTAACGGTGGGGCGCCCAAGTCTAAGCCAGCCGCCCGAGCAGCAGCAGCAGCAGCAAGATGGAGGCGAGCGGGGTCCCGGCGCCTCGGGACACCGCGCGGCCGCCGCCTCCGCTGACGCTTCTGCGCCCGGGCCCGTAGGGCGGCTCCCCGCGGCCACCCGCCGCCGCCGCAGCAGCGCCGCCGCCCGGGCGCGGGGCGTGCGGGACTCCGTCGTCGTCGTCGAGCGGCTGTTCGCTGCCCGCCCCGCCGAGGCGAGGCTCCTCGTCGTACTCTTCGTCGTAGTAGTCGTCCAAGCCCCCGTCCGAGCCGCTGCTGCCGGGGCCGTTGCCCAGATCGGCGCCGAAGCACAAGCGGGCCATGTTCTCCTTGACCGACTCACAGATGGGCCGCTCCAGGCCGTCGCACACGCAGTCGTTGAGCAGCGCCGCCTTGGGCACGGCCAGCATGTCCTCGATGACCGTGCGGCACTCGTCCGTGCAGCGCAGCCCGTTGAAGAGCTTGCCGCAGTAGGTCAGGTAGCGGTTGAGCGCCAGGTTGCAGCGGCTGTCGCGCTCGCAGCGTCGCCGGGCCTCCACGCAGCCCATGACCCCGCCCGCGCCCGCGCCGCCCGCGCCGCCGCCGCCGCTGCTCGTCCGCGGCAGGCACGGCTCAATGGCGCGCTTGGTGGACTTGCAGTTCTCGTCCTGCGCGCAATCACAGTCTTCCAGCGCGGGCCCGCGGCGCGTGTGGTTGAGCTGAATGAGCGCCGAGATGCAGTGGCTCGGACAGCGCCAGCGGGACGAGAAGGAGGCTCCCGGGGCCGGGAAGGCGGCGGCGGCCACGGCCCCCGGCGTGTCGCCCCCGCCGCGCTGCGCCAGCACCGGCGCGCACGCCTCGGCGTACTGGTTGTAGGCGTAGCTGCACTCCGGCTCCCCCTGGCACTGCAGCAGCGCCTGCCAGCAGATGAGGCGGCGGCCGTGCGCCAGCCCGGAGCCCCGCGGCGCCGATCCCAGCAGCTGCAGCAGCGCCATCAAGCACAGCCAGGCGCCCGGCACGGTCCCCACGCGGGCCCCGCTGCCGCCGGCCAGCAGCACGGCCACCATCTCGGGCAGCGGCGGCCGCCGGGCGAGGAGAGGAGAGGAGAGGAGATTCGGGGAGCTGCCGACGCGGAGCCGGTGGAAAAGTTTGCCCAAGTCCTGCCCACTTCTTGCATGAGTGTCTTCATAAATCCATGCGCGCCGCTAGCTGATGCCCCACGGGCGGCCGACGGCGGGCTCTCGCTCCTGGAAACGCACAGCCGCCGTGATTTCTGTCCAGATCCCAGGCCCGAGAGCCCTCTCCGCGCGGCTCCGGGCAGTGGCGGGACGCGCTCACTGCCGCCCCGGGGGGCCGCGGGCCGCGGGGCCGCGGCTGGGCTGCAGGACCGCGAGACGCCGCGGGTGCATTTTGCGCCGCGGTGGCTGCTCCGTGGTGCGGCCGGCGGCGTCCAAGCTCGCTGTTCGCTGGGCGGCCGTGGCTGCTCTTTCCTTCTCCCCGGCTCCACACCGCGCTAACTGCCGGCTGCTTTTTTTTTTTTCCTCCGCCTCGCGCCGCTTCCTGGCTCGGAGTCCGAGCGCCGCCCGCTTTCCAGCGATCCGGCCGCCCCGCGTCCCCTCCCCCTCCGCCCGCGGCGACCCCGGCCTGGGCAGAGCGCCGGGGAGCTCTTTCCGAGAGGCGCGGGGAGAAGAAGAAACTCCGCGCGGCCGTGGAGCGGCTCCCAAGCTTCCCTTGGAGGCGGCTTTCTCGGGTGACCAGGAGCCCGGGGAGCTGATCCGCTGAGCCCGGCGGCGGCGGACTGGCTCTCAGCGAGGCTTTAAATACAAAAGTGGGCCGGGAGCCCCCGCGTGGTGCTGCGGTGCCCCCTCATTATGCATGCATGGAAAAGCAAACAAACAAAAACATTAGCAACGCTCCTGCGGCTCTCGCCGGGCCCCGGCCCCGCGCGCTCCGAGCCGGCCCGCTTTCTCCTTTCTCCACTCTCTTTTTCGCTCTTTGCTCAGCCCCCTTTCCTGGCTTTTCGAGATGCTATTGGTTCTGCCTGTTGTTGTTGAAACTTTTTTTTTTTTTTTACGAGCCGCTGGAGTGGGGTTGCAGGGTGGGGGAGGGCGGGGAGAGTGGTGGGCAGCTCACATTCAGGCATTCAGGGCTTGAAAGGAGCGGCTTAGGGAGCCTGACAGAGCCCCGGAGCTCCTCCTACTCTTAAGGAGGCTCGGCGACGCTTACCCAGCGCACGCAAAGAACCAGCGGGCAGGGCTTAGGGGGCAGCTGTTTGCATCCGGCTCAGCCATAGGCCTTTTTGTTTGGTTCTTTTACCTCCCCCTCCCCCCTTTTTTGAGGAAGGGGCTTTTTTTTAAAATTAATTCTCATGGACCCCTCCCCACCCCTAGCCATCTGTGACTTCTAGTAGGTTCAGAAGTCAGTTTTGTTTTTGTTTTTGTTTTTTTTTAGATTTCCAGTCTTTAAGTATGATCTTGGAGGGGTGAAAGGGAAAGTCCAGAAAGTTTAAAGTGAGACTTTTGACAATTCACACACACACACCTCATACAAAAAAGTTACCCTTCTTTTTGAAAAAGGGCTTAAAAACGCACACTTTTTAAAACTGGGGAGATGTTGATGAGATGTAGTTAACCCTTCACTTGCCAGCCCTAGCTAAGGGACTTGACAGCTTAGAACCCTTGAGCCAAGCCTGGGTTTCAAATTGCAAGAGACTGAAATCCAAAAACATCTCGTCAGTTTCTTGGTAATAAAAGTTCATAACAGGTATGATCATGAAAAAGAACAGAATTAAAAATGTAAGGAATGTTAAACATTACCATCTGGCCGCAGTCATTGCACTGTAGACGGGTATAAATGGACACACAGCGAGGTTTCAAGTGTACCTTTCAACTCTTCAAGCAGCGCGGGGTTGGCGAGCTACCTTAAATGGGGCGCAACTCAGCCTTCAGCCACCAGAGGCTGCGGGCGTCTAGGGCCTGTCAAAAACTGGCGCTCTTACCCCTTTCCTTTCCGTGGAGAGACTATCAACTCCATCTGTCACCGAATTTAAGGCTAAATCTCCTCTCCAGAAACGGAGAGGCAGTCGGGGCTCCAGCGTACCGACCTGGGCGTACTGAGTCGGGCTGTGCGCTTCTCCCCCAGGCAGAGCGAATTCCAAATGGTAAAAGTCAGAGGGGAGCCACAGCCCACGGAAGACCTCAGCACTGGGGACCCTCGGGGATGGCTGGTTCTACCTTTGGAAGTGGATCTCTGCCATCCCCAAACAAAACTAAACTCTAAAAGAGACCATGGTAGTCTGAGTAGAAGAAAACATTCCTAATCTATATTTTTAAAACTGATTGAAAGCCCAGCACTGGTGGCGCCTGCCTGTAAATCCTAGTTATTCCAGGGAGGTTGAGATCTGAGGATCACGGTTTGAAGCCAGCTCAGGAAGAAAAGTCCCAGTGAGAGTCTCAACTCCAATTAACCACTCAAGAATGGGAAGTGGCGCTGTGGTTCAAGTGGTAGAACACTAGCCTTGAGCTAAGGAGCTCAGTGACAGCACCCAGGCCCTGAGTTCAAGCCCCACAAAGGACCGAAAGATAAATTGATAGCCGCTTGTTGAAGATCACTGTTCAAAGCTAGTTTGGGCAGGAAAGTCAATGAGACTTTTATCTCCAATTAGACTCTTATCTCCAATTAACCACACACACACACACACACACACACACACACAAAGGCTAGAAGTGGTAGAGAGCTAGCCTTTGGCAAAAACAAAACAAAAACTAAGGGACAGTGCCCAGGCCCTGAGTTCAAGCCCCAGTACCAGCGCACACAGCACACAGCACACACACACACACACACACATACACACACACGTTGTGACTTCATGCTACATCTAGACAGCTTGCCTCTGGCTGTTTTTAGGGTGGTCTTTGGAGTTGTCATCTCAGCCCTATTTGAAGGGCTAGAGCAACTCACCTCTATGACTTGGTCAAATGAGACTCTTGATAAACTCATTTATGTATATATGTATATTTGTGTATTTATTTATTTGTGCCAGTCTTGGGGCTTGAATTCAGGGAGTGGGCACTGTTCCTGAGCTTTTTTTTTGCTGAATGCTAGTGCTCTACCACTGGAGCCACAGCTCCACTACTGTTCTTTTGTTGGTTTATTGGAGATGCAAGACTCAGGGACTTTCCTGCCTGAGCTAGTTTCAAACTGCAGTCCTCAGATCTCAGTCTTCTGAGTAGCTAGGATTATAAGCATGAGCTAGTGATGCCTAGCTATTATCTTTATATTTTTAATGCTAATATTGGGGCTTTAACTCAGGGCCTTGTGCTCTTGCTTGGCTGATGTTCTACCACTTGAGCCACATCTCCACTTATGCCTTTTTGCTAGTTAATTGGAGCTAGTATCAGAGTTGTCCTTCCAGGTTCTCCTCAAACCTCAATCCTCAGATCTCAGCCTCTTTTTTTTTTTTTTGTTTCAGTACTAGAACTTGAACTCATTGCCTTGGTGATGTCCTTTAGCTTTGTTGCTTAAGGCTGTCACTCTACAACTTGAGCTACACTTCTACTTTGGGCTTTTGACTGGTGAATTACAGTCTCTCAGATTTGTCTGCCTGGCTTTGAACTGAAACCCTCATCTCCTGAGTAGCTAGGATTACAATCATGAACCACCAGCACCTTGGTCTTGAGTTTCTTCACATTAGAGGGTCTCATAAGTAAGTTAGCAGCAGATTCCTATAGAGGCCTTGTTAAATAAAGTCCAAGTTTTGGTTCTGGAGTTTCTGATTAGATAAAATTGGGGGATTAGGACCCTGGAAATCAAACTTCTTAATAAGTTCTAAAAAAGTGCTAAAGCAGCTTAAGGATGTCTACTCTAGAAGATGGCTTTTATTTAGTTAATTTTACAAACTTTCCCTGCCTTAGCCTGACATGGTGAAGGTGAGATTTAAGGAAGATCTAAACACTTTGCATCCTCTGGGGACTCCTGGGCAGCAGGGTCAGGACAAGACATTTTACGTTCCTAGTGCTATCAGTTCCATTCCTATTGAATAACTCCCACCTGCTCACAATAGGATACATTTTCTCCCACAAACAGGCTCACTTTCCCTTACTCTTCTGTTCTCCCAATTCTCTATTTTGAGTTCCTTCTGCCAGTTTACTACCCAGGGCACCAATGACCGAAATCTTGCTTTTCTTAAGGTCACTTTTTCAGTAATTATTTTATTGACTTTTTTTTTTTTTTTTTGGTAGAGTTGAACTTAATTGTCACAATTACCCTCTTCAACAGTTCTTTTTCTCTATCATCAGTTTGTCTTTTGGGACTCATCTTTCTCTATGTGCCCATTTTGCTCCAGGGAATTCTAAATTTTTCCCTTAGGTGACCTATTACAGTGACTTGGTTTCAATGCACAATTTAACATTTAAAACCTCAGCCAATCTCAGTCATTCTCTGGCTTCCATTTGTATGTACTCATGTAGTGGTTTAAGGAACATCTTAAATTTAACCTAATTTCCACATCCAAATATTGTGTGTTTACTATCTTTCTGCAGGAGTCTCCGAAATTGGTCTTTATCATTTTGTGGGTTCCCTCTTTTTTTTTTTAAAGCTGGTACTGGGGCTTGAATTGAGGGTCTTGCACTCTCAGTTAGCTTTTTCTCTTAAGGCTGATATTCTACCACTTCAGCTGCACCGTCACTTTTGACTTTGCTGGTTAATTGGAGATAAAAGTCTTCTGGAAGGCCTGGGCAGGAAGGTGAGATCTGAAGATCACAGTGCAAAGCCAGCCCAGGCAGGAAAGTCCATGAGAAAGCTCATGCCAGAAAACTCTAAGCCTGGATTAGCACTAGGGCTAGACAAGAGAGCCACCTAGGTACAACATTTAAGGAGGCATTGGCTCTCACATTAGTGCTGTAAAGACCTCAAAAGTGAGTACCTTCTTAAAGTTCGTATTCTAGATACTTCCCTATCCCTCCTTAGTTCTGACCTCTGCTCAAGTTAGAACAGAAGAGCTTAATCTAGTTAACCAAAGAATGTTGTTTTAATTAATTAATGATTATTTTTGTTACTTTTTATTTGTTGTTGTTACTGGTGTATGTCTGGCACCGAGGCATGAACTCTAAGCCTCAAGTTCTCAGATGGTGATCTACCATATGAGCTATTCCTACAGTCTGACTTCTTGCTTATTATTTAAGAGAGCTAGCTTCAAACC